AGATAGATGCCAAAAATCGGAATGTTCTGTATTTACAAGTACTGTAACTAGCTTCTTTCTTCGTTCTCCGGCGATCTCTTCCTCATTAACAATCGGTCTTTCGGATGGCCAATCTGCTCTATCTTGATACAACCAACTAGGACCCTCCCACCATTTCGATTCCAAAAGTTGCTTGGGAGAACAACCTCGTGATGGAAGATCTGCAGGGTTATATGCTCCGGGTACATGACACCACTGTTCTGCTGGAGTCAATCGTCTGATTTCATTAACCCTGTTCCACACAAATGTTCCCCATTCCTCCTGGCTCTGAATCCATGTTATAACAGTTGATGAATCGCACCAGAAAAAACAATCAAAGTTGCTTGTAAGGTTATCCGCAACTTGCTTATAAAGTCTAGCAGCTATTGTTGCTCCCATAAGCTCCAAACGCGGAATTGTTAATTTTCTCAATGGCGCAACCCTAGATTTTGCAGCCAATAAATGTATGGATACATTTTTATCCTTTTCGACTCTGCAATATACCACTGTAGCATATGCTTTTTGGCTGGCATCGCAGAAGACGTGGATGCTCAAGTTTTGTACATCTTTAGAACCGGTAGAAATCCAACGAGGAATTTCTACTTCGAGAAGATGTGGTAATCCTGTGAGCCAATTTCGAAAAGCAATTGCGACTTCATCGTCAACCGGCGTATCCCAAGGTATTTGCTTTTCCCACAACTTCTGCAGCAATAATTTTGGTACCAATGTAGTTGGGGCAGTGACTCCTATAGGATTAAATACCTTCTGTGACATGGATAAAATCAATCTTTTTGTGACAGCTGAATCATCTGAAGCAGATTTAAAAAGATTGTCATTGATTGTCAACACATCTCGTTTAGTGAACCATTTCATTCCGAGAACAGGAACACTGAAATCTTCACAGTCCGAATTTCCAGAAAATTCCCAGCCTCTCAAATCGAACTGACCTTCCGCCACTGCAGATATAAATCCTTTTATAAAGTTATTCAATTTATGCTTATCTGGTAAACTCGTAACACAGTTGTCAACATAAAAACTATTGGATAATCTTTCAATGGTTTCCCGAGAATATTCAGCGTCCATGCTTCCACAATTATCCATGCATTTTTTCAAATGGTGTTCGATTGTCATTCCAAGTAAGAACGGGCTACAGTTGACACCAAACACAACACGTCTGTGCCTATAAACAAACTCTTGATCCTCCTTATCAATCCAAAGAAACCTTAAAAAGTCTCGATCCTTCTCATGCACACTAATTTGCAAGAATGCCTTTTTTATGTCTGAAATGACACCGATTTTAAATTCACGAAATCTGAGTAATAAAGAAGGTATCAATTCAATCAAATTAGGCCCTTTCTCCAGGCACTGATTTAGAGAAGGACTGTTTTTTTCTTGTGCTGAAGCATCGAATACGGGTCTTATCGCGGTGGTAGAGCCCTCTTTCAATATTGGTCGATGCGGCAAAAAGTGACCATAATTTTCTCTTTCAACTCGCTCGATTATACCTTGGGATTCCCACTCGCAGAAAACTTGATCGTAGCGTTCGGTTAAGCCATCCCTCTCTAATTTGTGCATAATAGCTCTTACCCGCTTTCTGGCAACACTGTGATTCGTTGGTAACGGGGGATGTCCTTCAATCCATGGTAACCGAACCTCATATCTCCCCTCCATGTTTATGGTAACCGTTTGAAGAAACAAGTCCTTCGCTGCATTAGCCATTTCTTGTTTAGTTTTCTTTTCAGTGGGTTCCTGTATTCCCAGTACATCCAATTGCCACAAATCTGCGATTGAGGGATTTGCAAATAGAGATAGAACAGTCATTGTCTCATTGGATCGAATATTGGACCCTGAGACTCGGCCCATTACTGTCCACCCAAGATTGGTTTCCATTGCAGTCAGTCCACATTGTATTTTATGGAGTCTCCCGGTGTACAATGACCCAACAATGTCTGCTCCTAACAGAAGTTCGATAGGGTCAGAGTTTTCTGAATCGCTGATACTAACCCCCAAACGTTTAAATTCTTCCATCCAGGGACCATTGAAAATCGGAGCGACTTCGTTGCATATGTATGGTTGATCTAAAGCTTCAAAATTCTTCGTGTACTTCCCATTAACCATAGCAACATCATAGCAATAATGCGTATCGGTAGACATCTGACCGCCAAATAGACAATGCACTATCTTTTCAATTCGCTTAGGCTTCAAACCAAGCGCTAGTGCTGTAGTTTTCAATATGTATGATCGTTGCGATCCACTATCTATCAAGGCTCTAACCTTTCTTGTACCAGTAGCTCCTTTTAAAGTAATTCGCAGTGTCTGTAAGAAAACTTGTTTGCTTGTTTGATTTGTCATAACTTGATCTCCACCTGCATCCTTAGCTTTTGCACCATCGGATTCTTGCTTGATGCTAGGTAAGCTTTGACACATCAATGGTGCGTGTGATTGTCCGCAGACAACACACCTCAATCGACTGCGGCATTTTCTTAACTGATGTCCAACTTTTAGGCACTTGAAGCAAGCTTTCTTTTCTGCTATAATGTTTTTCTTCTCGTCGTAACCCATTTTTTGAGCTTTGAAACACATATCGCTACTGTGACATCCAGCACAAAAGATACACTTGGCAACACAAGCATTTAGCAGCCCAGCCGCTGTTGCAGTTGAGAGATCTTTTGCAGACTTCTTTTTATGATCAACACTACTGCCTGACCTAACAGAATTGTCTAACAAACCGAAACCTTCACTTGCCAAGCAGATCTTTTGTTCGTTTTCTACTTCAGCTCGTAAAAAACTCATAAGATTTTTAAGTTTAATTTCAAGTGTAGCATCCGCGGTTAAAGACCTAATAGAATCGGCACCGTTTTGAGACGAGTTATAAGATGAACGCTGCCAAATTCTTAACAAATCCTGCGTCAAACATGACTCAATCAGTGGAAAGAGCATTGCTGCATATTTATCCGAAGTTATTCCTACCGTTTCAAGCGCTCTAAGTTGTGTCTCGATCTCATCGTAAAGCTTGGAGATATCTGATTTCTGGGAAGACCTTGTATTACCCAAAATTAGTTTTAATAACTCCCTGACATGTACTTCAATTTGTAGATCGTCCCTACCAAACCTAGCCTGCATACATTCCACAATTTTGCCATAGTTTTCTCCTACCACAGGAAAACTCTCTACAAGTTGCCGCGCCCTACTGCCCGGTACTGTGGCTTGTATTAAATATTCGATTTTGTCACTACTGTCTATATCGGGATCCTCATGGACCTTTCTGAACTGTGACCAAAACCCTAACCAGTCTTTTACGTTACCGTCATAATGTTTAAATTCGATTCGCGGGAGTTTAAATTTGCGCTTACCTTTTCCACTTTCCCCTAGATGCGTAGAATGCCCCGAACTTCCTGATACCAAAGAGATCATATCATCTACCTCCGCAGTTGCGTGTCCCGGCTGAAGCACCTTATTACATCTCAGACGTGGATCGGTGAACCTTCTCTGGTAGGCGTCACTGCTGTCAATTTCTGACATAAGCTGCTCCTCCGTAGCACTTTCCAGCAGGGCCTCATAAACTTGATTCTCACACGCATGTAATTCATCGAATTTCCCTTTCAGACATTCCCAAGAGATTTCTACATCACAGTGCACAGGTTTGTCAACCTGTAATAGAGTGTCTAATTCGTTGGCAACTTTGGTGAAACTCGCCCGAAGCACTTTCCTATGTTTCTTCTTGGCTTCCATAGCGACTGTCGGCTCTTGTACCATTACGAATAGACAATAACAGAATTTATGACCTCAAAGGGCACACAATGAAAATGGAAAAATATCCTGAGTTTTTCACTCACCGAACTGTCAGGTCCTGTCACGGTCGCCAAATGTTGCCTCGCCGTTGAAATACTACCCGTATTTCCAGCCTAGACGATTCAAAATAAAGGACACTATCGGCTCATTAAAAACTGGACATATATTTTAACATTACCCACTTCAATAATACATAAAAGGTTGCAAAATTTTGGAGACGTCTTTTTTAAAACATAAATCTACCCTAACAACGTAAACAACAACAAAAACTATTTATATTTTAGGCACATCAGTTACGACAGAAGGCTAGTAGATTGGACTTTACCACTTGTGCCAACCTCTAAAGTAAAGTTCAGTCTACAGCAGGCTTGCCACCCTCAAAGATAAATCAGCCACCCTTACTTTTTGCTTTTGTCCACCCCGACCATTCGTGGTATTTTAAATAAAGCAAAAGTTATAGTATAGTGTAGGTTTTGTTTTATAACGTAGCATCCGGCAACGGTTACCATCCCTTTTTTCAGTGAAAGCTTACTGTTTTCCAAAACTAAGCTCTTCAGTAGCTAAATAGCATATGGAAGGCGTTTTCTAACATTTTTTAGCATTTTAATTCCGCAATCAATCAAATTGGGGTCAATTCAAGGCGTCTACCAACCCAGGGTAAGATATAACCTGGAATTTATAAATGTTATCTGGGGACGAGGTTAAGTATACGAGCAAAAGCAACTTTTAGTTCAAAAATATTGTTTAGTTTTAGTCTTACCGACAGATTTTATAAAAGTTTTAACGGTTGCAGCGTCTGATTTGTATTTATTTTTATTTTTGAAAGAAGCAAGTGAGAGATCCAGATGAGTAGGGGGGATCTCACGTCCAAACAATTTTTTTGCCATTTTCGGAATCTGCGAATTTTACTAAAGTTAGGTTGGATGGCCAGTTTGGAATTTTTGGATTTTTGGGGGGAATTGGGTGTGTGTGTGTGAGGAGGGATCCATACATCAGAATTTTTTATCATTTCCGGATTCAGCGGAAAATTTTATTCAGTGGGTTACAAAAATAATCATATAAAGAGTATACATTTGAAAGTGCGCAAGTGCAGCAATTTACACAATGGTAAAAACATTTTGGTATTTTTGGCACAGCTTTATATAACATTGGTTGCTCTGAAACTTCCATTACTATGTATATTCCATGTAATGTGTTGTAACTTTAATAAATTATGCCACTTGTGTGACATTCATTTTGATAATTTTGAACGTATATTGGTTGTTGCTATACAATTACTAAGTCAGGAACGTATCTTTTGATGATATGTGGATTATCTTTGTATTTTTTTTTTTNATAATCACTCGAGTGGTGGGAGTAAACATCTCGAGATATCTCGAGTGATCTCAATAATCGAGTACCACTCGATTTTTCACTCGAAATCTCCCATCACTAATTTTAACTACATTTATGTGTGGCGGCTACACTGAAAGTATGGTTAAGTTTTGAAAAATTGTTGATTGGGTTTTTAATTATAATCATTAATCAGATGCATTGCAGAATAAACAGCCGACGAATTTCTGATCTACAAAGATATTATAAAAATAATATACAGTGGTTTGCACCAGTTTTGGATAAGTTGTTAAATTTAACTTATAATTAAATCTGAAATTTATTTGCACCAATGAATTTAACTATAACTTATGGATTAAGCCGTTGTTAAAATTAAGCCATGGTTGGGGTGTGGATTAGTGGTTGTTAAGTTATTTTTTAGGTTAGTTTTACTACATAAAATTGAGACTAAAATTAACTAATAATATATATGTATAGTGTCTAATACAGTGTAAAATGGGAAATTTATTTCCTGAGATTGTTGAAGTAGATGAGGATGACCTGGAAATTCTTAATATTATACAGTTTGATGTTCCTCGTCAAATTTATGAAAGAGAAAATCACTTTTACACAATGGATGCAAGTACTTTTAGAAGACGATTTCGACTTTCTAAAGAAACAGTACAACATATTTTAGTCCAGATAGAAGATCAACTGGAATATCGATATGATTTGTAAGTACACAGATCACAGATGTAAATATATTGTAATAAACCATTTCTATAACAAATAATTTTATTTGTAGAAACAACTGTGTATCTCCTATAAACCAGTTGCTTGTTACTCTAAGGTTGTACTCCACAAGTGGACATTTAGATTTGGTGGCAGATTTTGCTGGAATGCATTTATCTACAGTATCTAGAATTATTGTTAGAGTGTCTGAGGCGATAGCTAATTTATCACAGAATTATGTNATGCCCCGAACTTCCTGATACCAAAGAGACCATATCATCTACCTCCGCAGTTGCGTGTCCCGGCAGAAGCACCTTATTACATCTCAGACGTAGCTCGGTGAACCTTCTCTGGTAGGCGTCACTGCTGTCCATTTCTGACATAAGCTGCTCCTCCGTAGCACTTTCCAGCAGGGCCTCATAAACTTGATTCTCCCACGCATGCAATTCATCGAATTTCCCTTTCAGACATTCCCAAGAAATTTCTACATCACAGTGCACAGGTTTGTCAACCTGTAACAGAGTGTCTAATTCGTTGGCAACTTTGGTGAAACTCGCCCGAAGCACTTTCCTATGTTTCTTCTTGGCTTCCATAGCGACTGTTGGTTCTTTTACCATTACGAATAGACAATAACAGAGTTTATGACCTCAAAGGGCACACAATGAAAATGGAAAAATGTCCAGAGTTTTTCACTCACCGAACTGTCAAGTCCTGTCACGGTCGCCAAATGTTGCCTCGCCGTTGAAATACTACCCGTATTTCCGGCCTAGACGGTTCAAAATAAAGGACACTCTCGGCTCATTAAAAACTGGACATATATTTTAACATTAGCCACTTCAATAATACATAAAAGGTTGCAAATATTTTGGAGACGTCTTTTTTAAAACATACATCTACCCTAACAACGTAAACAACAACAAAAACTATTTATATTTTAGGCACATCAGTTACGACACCGGTGGAGGTCCTTCCGCTCCTTCCTACCTAAAATCCGGTTCGACGATCGCTCGGTTTCCTCTATTTAGTTTTTAATTTAACCATTTTACCTACGTTATTTATTTAAAGCCGCGCGGAAAATACTCATATTTATCGACCGGATGCCTTTTTCAAACCTTTTATGTAGAACTTTCCGCGAAATCACGCGCAGGATTCGAAATGCGGCCGTAAATACGTTAAAATGACTCTCTGGAAAACGTATACTTTGCCACACAGAATTATTTTCTCGCAAACCGCGGAATGGAGTGCGACTGGGCACGAGATGTCCATTCGATCATCTTTAATCGTTCGGGGGCACTTTTGTAACGTTCTTTTCGCGTTTTCATATTTAATTTCGCCTCTTTTTGTGGTCCACTCGACGACAGACAAGCCGTAAAGATTGAAGCTTTAAGACACGCCCACCCGGAGAAAATTCGAATGTCGTTAGAAACGTCAGTTTAATATACGTCAAAATAATTTCACGCCAAACGCGAAAGGCGTCTGTAGGGTCGCGGCGAACCGTTATTTTACCTTACTAGACCTTTTTTTAATCTTAATACATTGCTACGCCACGACATATACAGGTATTTCTTATTAGGTTAAATTATTATTTACATTTTGGTAGCTCTACCGCTTGACATGCCTACGATTACGATATCTGTTCCCCGAATTAACGTAAGTACTTGCCCTCTAAAACTGCATAATTTTAAACCAATCCATAGTACCTAAACCCTTCAACCTTTGTATTAGTTCAATTTGCTTCGTTAATTACTATATTGCATTCGTATTAGGTACAGTCGGCGCCACCCAAATGTGAACGGCAATATTGTACCGTGTAATTTAAACTTCAAATCAAGGTCGTCGTAAAATTCAATAGTAGTCAAATATATGTCACTTACAGTGGTTCGCACCAGTTTTGGATAAGTTGTTAAATTTAACTTTAATTAAATCTGAAATTTATTTGCACCAATGAATTTAACTATAACTTATGGATTAAGGCGTTGTTAAAATTAAGCCATGGTTGGGGTGTGGATTAGTGGTTGTTAAGTTATTTTTTAGGTTAGTTTTACTACATAAAATTGAGACTAAAATTAACTAATAATATATATGTATAGTGTCTAATACAGTGTAAAATGGGCGATTTATTTCCTGAGATTGTTGAAGAATGAGGATGACCTGGAAATTCTTAATATTATACAGTTTGGTGTTCCTCGTCAAATTTATGAAAGAGTAAATCACTTTTACACAATGGATGCAAGTACTTTTAGAAGACGATTTCGACTTTCTAAAGAAACAGTACATATTTTAGTCCAGATAGAAGATCAACTGGAATATCGATATGATTTGTAAGTACACAGATCACAGATGTAAATATATTGTAATAAACCATTTCTATAACAAATAATTTTATTTGTAGAAACAACTGTGTATCTCCTATAAACCAGTTGCTTGTTACTCTAAGGTTGTACTCCACAGGTGGACATTTAGATTTGGTGGCAGATTTTGCTGGAATGCATTTATCTACAGTATCTAGAATTATTGTTAGAGTGTCTGAGGCGATAGCTAATTTATCACAGAATTATGTATCAATGCCGACTAATATTAACAGCATAAGGGCCACACAACAAAATTTCTATGATGTTGCAAATTTTCCAAGAGTGATTGGTGCAGTTGATGGCACTCACTGCAGAATAATTTCTCCAGGTAATATACTTTCGTGAAAAATATTTGTATTTACAGTGGTTTTACAGGAGGTGATGATCCAGAAGTGTTTAGAAATAGAAAGGGCTACTTTTCGATTAATGCTCAATTTGTCTGTGATTCAAGATTGAAAATATTAAATGTCGTAGCTAGATGGCCAGGAAGTACTCATGATTCTCCAATTTTTAATAATAGTCGTCTGAAGATGGATTTTGAAAATAACCAATATCAAAATTGTTTACTCTTAGGTAGCTGTATTAAAGTGTTTATTGTTATTATTCATTCTGTATTTTATGAACTTTTAGGGATGGATATGCCAATAAAACATACCTATTGACACCTTTGTTGCTTCCTGCCACAGAGGCCGAGAGAAGATATAATCAAAGCCATATTCGTACAAGAAACGTAATTGAAAGATTGTTTGGTGTTTTGAAGAGGCGTTTTCCTATACTCTCTTATGGCTGCAGATTAAAATTAGAAACATTTTTAACAATCATCATTTCCACGTCAGTACTTCATAATATTGCATTAAATATGGGAGACGAAGAAGCACCACCTTTACCACATGAATTGGACGATCATATACTTAACCTTCTAATTCAAAATGGGCAAATTCCTGATGTTAATGAAGAAGTTGGTGAAGATGTAGCCGGTACTACAAGAATGGCTTTAATAACTGATTATTTTCATAATCTTCTTGTAAATCAAAATATTTAATATAGTGAAAAGAATATTATACATCTTAATTATTACTCAAAATAAATTAAATAAAAATCTTCAAAAATGATTTTATTTTGTTGCACTAAAAGTTATTGTTCAGAATATTATCCTGAATACACACTCACTATTGCTGGTTTTTTAAATATTTCTTCATGAATGAGTAATGAATCATGTTTTATATTTTAATGTACATACTACTGTCACTGTTAATAGGAAACAATGTAAATAATACAGAATGTTAAAAACAATATTTTATTTAACAAGAACTAAACTCATTTATCAAAGAAACTAATTTAATTTAACAGGAACTAAATATGTAGTAAGAAACAATTTACAAACAAATGCTGAAAACAAAGAGTATCACTTAAGCTATTGATTTGCTTGATTCACTGCATGTAATGCCGTTAATTGAGCCTTTTTTATCTCCACATCGAGCTCAAGAGCTTTCTTTGTTAATTCACATTGTTCTTTCTCTCTCTTTTCTTGTAGCTGACGACGTTTTCTCTCCCATTCATTTTTTTCTTCTAATTCTGCTTTTTCTGCCTGCATAGTTTGTAGCTGACATTTCAGCACTTTTTTTTTTATTTCTGCTACTTCTTCATATCGCAAAGCAATGTTTCCTATTTTTGATAGTTCAGGTCTTCGTCTACTGCTCCACCTATTACCTGCAGAATTGTCTACTCTGTTCTTTGAAATGTGCTCGTCATTACATAATATATTTTTCTAGAAAATAAAAATTATACATTATCTACCAAATGATAATCCACAAAATTTAAAAAATAATAGAATAATATGTTATTTATTTTTAGGTTGAAATGATGTTTTGCAATTATATTATAACCATCAATTGCTTTGTTAATGCCAGAGATCTGATTCTCAACTACCTATACAAATCTGTTTCGTAAAACCTGTACACAGAGCTGCACAAAGGCAAATATTGAGTGGTCAAGAATGAGCCATAAAAGAAATTAAAGTTTTGATAAATACGTTACATACTTAAGTAACTGGCATTAACTTATTATTCACTTTAAAACTATTTATTTCACTATTTTGTAACTATATCAATCTACGTAAAAATGAATGTTACAGTAGTATTTAAGTTTTACATACCGATGTCTCTATTTCTGAAGTTTCTCCATTTTCCATTTCTAAGACAATAATTTCGCTTTCTATTTCATCACCATCCTCCTCAATTATATATTGGTCTGTTTTTTGTGCTTCCTTCACATTTGTAATTACAGAACTGCAGCTACTCTAAACACATTACAAATTTAGTAAAACATTTAAATACTATATACAAATACTTACATCACCATCAAATTTATTTGTCAGTCCAAAAACTGTTTTTTTATTGATTATATCGAGGGTTAAGTTATAGATTGGATCATCTTTCACCTTTGGCGCTTCTCCACCACCAGTTTTGTTCATTTCACACCTCAAATTTGCTGCATATTTGCGTGTCTCTTTCTTTTTATTAATGTAAAATCTTTTTATAACATCTACAGGTCTATAAGTTGATGATGTGGAATTAAATTCTTTTCCTATAGATACCCACCCCTCCTCCTTGGATTTCCATGAGTGGACCCCAGTTTCTTTGTTCTCAATAACATGTTTATATTTTTTTATTATATTCAGAAGATAGAGTTTTTCTTCATTACTAAAATTAGAAGAACGTGGACGTTTTATTCCACGATTTTCGCTCATTTTGATTTTAATAATCACTGGATTTCAAATTTGCGTTATATTTTCTGAAAGCTGACACAATTGTTATATTATTTGTTATCCTTTTGTTATAACATCATTTTTCAGGTTATGATGCAGATTGCAGACAATATAACCAATAGAAAATGCAGATTTCACAAGAACCCTGTAGCTCATTGTAGCCAACATATCCTATTTAATTTTAAACATCAGTTTGTTAACTAAACTTATAATATTCACTGGTGCAAAGTCTTTTATGTTTAATCCATAATTAAGGTTAACTTGTGATTATTAAATCGAAAAGTTAATTCACAACGGTGCAAATGGCTGCATGAGCAAACATAGTGAAAAGTAAACAAGTAACGTGAAATATGCAGGAGCATTTAACTAAGGTGCAAAGAGCAAGGGCTGTAGCTAAATTAGAAGATAATTGGTTTTTGAGTGAAGTGGATGCTGATTTAAATGTCAGTAAGAGTTGTATATTTATATTAAATAACGCTGGCAAGAAGAACAAAGATTACAAAGATATATCAGGCAAGGTGTCGGGAAGGTATCCAGTGACGCGGAAGACAATGCCTTGGTCGAATTTATCCATCAGAATACCCTCTCTGTGTTACGTCACTAAGAAAAGTTTGATTTACTACGATAAAATCCAGATGAAATTTTTATTTAACCAAAATCCGTTCACATTTGGGTGGCGTCAACTGTACTCCCCAAACGTCAAAAGTTAAGATCCAATAGAAATAAGTTGGTGTTAAAAACTCTTCCAAGTCATGGGATGTCGTTATTTATCTGTTTGTATGTATGTATGTCGGAGGAGTGGTGGAATTGTCTTCCACCACGGCACTTAGGCCTTATACACCCTCCTTCATTACTCGAGTACTTTTCTTCAAACCATCTTATTTACTACACGGATGGCTTGGTCCGCTAAGTCTCGTACAGTTTATGTATGATCAAGCCAGATTGGAAAACTACCATTTTGGCGGACGGACTGGGTTTCTCCGCGAGATCCGAAGCGGCATGACCGCGCCTCATCTCCGCTTAATGAAATTTTTGCAACTTTATATTCGCGTTTTCAAATGTACCTTTCTCCGTGGGCTTCTCACTGACATACGGCCATTTTATAAGCGAAATAGAGATTCAACCCGCCCTGAACGCAAATCGACGAAAATCTGAAAATCACGAAGAATGTCAGATTGAAACGTCTAAATAAATTTCACTATATTCGACGTTTCCAATTGAGGTTAGAAAATCAGAACGAACCATAGATCGATGGAAGGAACAGACTGATTGATATTTGCCGTATTTCGTAATTTAGGTTAGGAAAACAGACGGTACCTACTACGCGATTTTTGACGTTTCTAATTGAGGTTAGAAAATCAAAAGGAACGTACTAATTGATATTTGACGTGTTTCGTATTTTATGTTAAGCTATCACACAGGAGTGACAAGACGATATTTGACGTTTCTAATTGAGGTTAAAAAGTCAGTGGGGACCTACTAATTAATATTTGACGTATTTCATAGATGACATCGAGTTGAAAAAATCAGATGGTCCTACTAGGCGAAAATGACGTTTCCAATTGATGTTAGAAAATTAGACGACATTTGAAGTATTTATTTAAACCAAAAAAAAATTTGTTTACTGATCAGAGGCCTACTTCGAACTTTTTATTTAGAACGTTTCGCGAAATTAACGCAGATTCGAAGTGCGGCAGCTTAAACAATGAACGACGACACTACGCGCTGTCTTTCAAGTCAGACTGGAAAACTAGCATTTTGGCGAACGGACTGGGTTTTTCCGCGAGATCCGAAGCGGCATAATCGAGCCTCACTCCCTTCGTTCGTCGCTTAATCAAATTTGCAAATCGACGAAAATCTAAAAATCACGAAGAATGTCAGATTGAAACTTCAAAATAAATTTCGCTGTATTTGACGTTTCCAATTGAGGTTAGAAAATCACAACGAACCATAGATCGATGGAAGGAAGATATTTGACGTATTCCGTAAGTAATTTAGGTTAGGAAACCAGACGGGACCATAGAACTTATAAACTACTGGATTCGCCCATCTGTCATTTTGCCAATATAAACTGCAATGGCACAGACGTGTGCGAGAGAGATAGAGCTGGTGCGGGCTAATGCTTCGTTCTTAAAACTTCAAGTATCGCGCGAATTAAATTGGATTTCTCTTTTAACAATACATATTTATACTACTAATTTTAATTAATTATTATTAAGGCCTATTTGAAACATATTATATAGAACGTTTCGCGAAATTAACGCGAATTCGAATTTATCTTCCAAATTTTTTCTGAAAATTTATGTACAAAGTATTCTATAAAATGACAGAGGTCTGGATCAGATTTTTCCTTACATTTTTTACATTTTTTCGTTTTACTTACATATTGAATCTTTTGGTCATGTTTTATGCTTACTAACTAGATGAGATTTTGGCGAATTATCGGTCTAGAGGCTTCTGTATATTTCAGAAATTTATTGTGGCAATATTTTTATGACAAATGTTATATTGTAGAACTCAGAGGCATTTTGCAAATTTATATACTAAGATACTATATTTGAAGAAAAGTCGCTTTTTTTAAAATCCATATACTAGGTATTCTATAGAATTAAGAGCAATTTTATTTCCTTTCACTTTTAGCTTTGTCTATTTACTACAGTCTTTTAATGAAAATTTATTTTTTTACCATTTCTGCCTTACCCACGTAGTCTTTGGATGAAAAATTTTATATTTACTAACCAGATGCCTTTTTGGAAGTTTGGAACAAACTTTTCTTATTCTTTTCTCGAACGGGGCCTACTCTTTTTTGAAAAACAATCTCATCATACTTTTATATACAGGGTGTTTAAAACTCAAAGTACATGGTGTTTATCTACTAACCAGCGAGGAAAGCACCGCTGAGCGGTGCTCGGGCCGAACGCCCGAGAGAAAGGTCAAACTCCGCGTCAGCGGAGTTTGCCTGCCTTTCTAGTTTTAATTTAATAAAATTTGATAATAAAGAACATCTACCATTCTACACCAAGTTTCACTTCTATTTTCCGAGCATTTCAAGATACTGCCTGTCGAAAACTTCTTGGACAACCCTTTTTAAATAGAGTTAGATACAAAAAAGTTATTACTAAAATAAAATGTACCTATTAGACAAGATAACAAAAACTAAATTCACATTGTTTTAAAGCACAAAAACTAAATAAATTTAACAATAATCACAGGATTATGTCTAAACTAAAACATTTTGTAAATAATTAATAATAATTATTATTATTAAAAAAACGTAACAAAAACATAAGATAAATAACTCTATCTGATCATCCACTGATTCTACTCGTACTAATATTCAGTATTATAATGCTGGGTTCACAAGTCATGTTTATTAAATTAAAACATTATTCGAAAACCATTGTTCTCGAAATTGTTCATCATTTATATACATTAATTCTGTTGTCAGATGCCAATGACGCATAAGACATAAAAATAAAAAATTAAATAGTTTCATAAAAATAATAGAGCAAGAGCCCGGGATCGCCAGACCTTCCTCATAGTATAAAAGCTGAAAGTTTCTCTGCGCATGTCCCCAACAGAGGAAGGAATGATCGGCGACTATGAAGATTGGATCATCGTGGCTTTGGCAGGTAACAGGCATCAAAAGTGTATAAAATTGCTACCTAAAATCGTCAAAGTATAAAACATAATTTTTTAATATTTCTTTCGGGATAATATTAGAAGTTACGTCCTCTATTGCCAGACACTTAGTATCGTGTCAACCCCCCGCCGGATACCCTTAAACTTTAATAAATTGTAATTCTACTTACATTGTAGTATAAAAGCTAAATTTTATATATTACTTACTTGGGTAACTATTAAAAGGTGTTTCCTTAGTAGCCCGACAGTTTCGACAGTTCTAACATCTTGCCAGACAAAGTTGAAAGTCAGCCGTAGATGCGATCCTTGAGGCAATATATACCCAAGCGAATGTGAGTAAAGATAGTTTTTGGATTTATCGGATAATTTCATTATATAGAATTATTTATGACTAAAAAAATAAATTGTTAAACAATTATTCACTATAATTTTTATGTTGATAAACCAATAAAAATAAATCTAATAAATTAATAAATAATGTTTAGGAATTTTGTTTTTAAAATTTAATTTAATTTAAATTTCGATATTTGGTTAAAATTTTAGTGTTTATTATGACTATAGGAGAAAAGAATTGTATCAGTACTAAAAAATCCAATGAAAAAATAGTTTAATTATTGTGCGTGCTTACTGCTTAGGTAGGTTATTTTATAAAGGCATTTTGTTTTGGTAATTAAATGTCTTTTCGTTAGCGTCGTGTTCCTCAATTCATTATCATTATTTATTATTTGCTCACTATTTGCGAATAACTTGATAACAAAAAAAAAATATCGAACCCTTTTTGGCATCAAAATATAGCTATTTTTATGCTCCTCAAACTGACCTACAAAAAGTTTTATCCTGCTATTTCACATTTTTAAGAAATCGTGAAAAAACCTAAACTTGTATTTATCCATAATAAATCAATAACACTTTCGTTAGAAAATTCAAATTTATACTTGTAACGTCCATTTGCTCTGTCGCCAAATTTTTGTAACGTACTTTTATTTACTTGGTCTTTATTTGGCGGTGGTGACGGTTCGGGTCAAACGTTACTTGTGGCCGCCCCCGGTATACTACCAACTCTA